AAGAAACATTTTATGTCAACCATGTAACATACTAAGAGCTATCTTTACTCTCATAAACAGTCAGCAAACAGTGAAAGTAACAAAAATAAGGCTGTCATGTTTTTATTCTAACCCCAAGAATTCCTCTTCTTCGCTGCTATCAGAAATGAGGAAGGACAGATCCACGCAGTCATTGTCATCACTTTCTTCCTCACTGGTGTCAAATAAGACGTCGTCTTCTGTTCCATCCAAGGCATTACTAATGCCACACTTCTTGAATGATTTTACAACAATGTCTTTCTTTACGGAGTCCCATGACCTTTTAACCCATTCACACACTTGTGTGATAGTATTCCTTTGGCATTTTTTGTGCAATTCTGGTTTTGGTGCGCATAGAAAGGCCAGATCTCTTCATAAATCTATAGCACCACGATGGTGATCCGGTGAAATCCTGAATGCCTTTCTCCACAGCAATGCGTTTTGGCCTCATAGATTATCATTTTTGTTGAGACAGAAAGTCCATTTTGCCGGTGACGTGTGATCCACTCCTTTACTTCTACCTCTAACCCTGGCCACTTTGCAGTTGGTCCACGCAAGGTGTGCTTGCTTTTATCCAACTTTTGGAGCTGATCCTCCTGTTTCCTCCACTCTTTTATCATTTTCTCAGTTGGAGGTGGCCTAAAGTGTCTCTCCGCTGCTCTGTTTCCATGCTCCTTAGCAAATTTTATTACTTCCAGCTTGAAAGCAACTTTCCAACTTGAAGCCAGTCTCTTCTGCTTCGACATCTTGATGGGTGGTATGAAATATGATATATTTCATTCAGATATACAATACTACATATATCACAGCTCACAGCTATCCGCGCCTCCGCTTGCTCCCGCACTACGATTGGCTGAGCGAAGAGACGCGTGCCTTCACCCGCTCCCGCGCGCGTAATGGCAGACCGCACATTGAGTTGAACAGTGTTAAGCGAATTTCGCTTACTGCGCATGCTTGATGGTGTACCTTTGGCGCGGGAAGAAATATTGGCGACTAAAAGCAACCCTACGCTAGCTCATTCGTGATCCCCATGGCTGTCGAGTGTGGTCGAGTGATGTGTACAACTGCAATGTTGTGGAACTTTGTTTATTAGTTATTTTAACGTTCATACCGATTGCACTTGCTTATTTTTCTAATATATGTTTCATTTTAATTTGTCTAACAGTGCATTTAATAATTGTTACCATATATTGTGCTTAATAATTCGTTATTTAGATGTAATTTGTTTACATGTTTGTAATTCTCAGTAATGTAAACTGGATTTTCCCGCTTAGTTTGTTAACGTATATTCGCGCTTTTATTTCTTATTTAAAAGAATTAAATAAACAGCATTAAGGAATTGTAAAATTTCTTCAATGTTATTTGCAAACACTTGCTATATTTTTTACGTATGTCCGTGTTTCTTTGCGTATGTACGAATGTAACGTATGGTAAATTCTGAATTGTTTTTATTCCTTAAAAGTGTAACTAATATATCCTGAATTTCAGTCTTTTTCTGAGCGAAAATTCGTACAGTTCCAAAGTGAAGTGCAGAATTTCATAAGTATAACATCTTACATTTTGAATGCAAACACTGCTTCACATTATTTCGTAATAATTATTTACATCTCCTCCATCTATGCCTGTATCAATTTTTTTCATCGGGTTATTTATCAATAATTCCTGTTAGAATTAGAAATATATTATTAGAAAAGGTTTTTCCTGTATCATCTGCAAGGAACAGAAATTTAAAGCAATGAATTATTGGAATGAATTTTAGCCAGCATTTGAAGTTATTTAGATTTCTGTTGCATTAAAAATTATTTAAAAGCTGTATAGAAATATTATTTTGAAATGCAAACATTTTAAGTGCCAAAATTAAAAGTATTTAAAAGGTAGCTATTGTCATTGATGATAGATTGACTTGTCAAGGGAAACAAACCAAGACTTCAGTACATAAACAATATATTTTTTATTCTGGGGGGGGTGAACATTGTTATTAATGGTGATATAATCAAATAAATAACAAAGAATCTGCAAGTGAAACGTATTTTACCATTTCTTTGAATTTAGATATTTTTCCGAATATTCCAAGCATTTAAAAGAAATATATTTTACATATTTTGTAACTGTGAATGTATTCGTAGTTCCGGAAGTTCTGAATATCTGCAGAAACACATATTTCGGTCTATGACTTAGCTGGCTTAGTTAAGTTAAGAAATAAATTTTTCTTTAATATTAACAAATGATTATATATTAATAAGAAATTGGTACATTTGTAATTCCCCCCAAAAATTCTTTAAGAGTGGCAAATACGTACATAAATTTGATTCCCCCCCCAGTATGTGTGACGAGTACGTTCCATTAGACTTCATGATTATTTTGTAACAGCTCTACTTATTGCCAAAATTGGGTCTTTATGCATATATATATGTATAATGCATACAACATACATGCAAAGTTATGATAGCTGTTAATATATCATAATTGACTAAACACTACGAATACTGTTTCTCTTTCAAGACATGTACTCTCAAATGTTTTCATAACAACTTCTGTATTTATTTAGGAAAAATTCTACTGATAAAATGTGTAGTAACACACAGAAATATTTTTAAAATGGTGTTTAAGAATGCTGTTGATTTTTCAGAGACACAGTAACAATTTAACTGGTTATAACCTTAACAGAGCAGAGATGTCAAACAGAAAAAGAAATGCTCAAATGCCAAATTAAAATATTTGATCATAAAACAAATGCAATTACAGTTAACTTATTTTCGAACTTGAAGATTGATTATCAAGTATAAGTTAATGTTTAATAAAAGAATTTCATGAAAACAACCTAAATTTGAAGTACAATGAAAATAGTAGATTTTATTTTACCAAAATAGCTTAGTACAATGATTTTGTCAATGTATTCTTTATGTTTATTTATGGGAAATTAACAGAATGTAACCTATGTTATGAATATAAAGGTAATTTTTATTTTTAACTAACTCTCGCTAATTAAATATAAAACAGTTACAAAAGTCTGAATATTTGGTGTAAAATTCGATTTTTCATTATTAAGATTAAATGCCTTTTCCACCGATTACTTTTCTTGATTTAATAAATCTCCTTTTGGTCTTTCTTACACCTTATACGAGTTTCACCCACTTTGGTAATATATACTGTGTGAGAACTCTGGAAAACTTAAGCGACTTCTCGTTATGTTTTGGAAATTACAACAGAGGTTTGGAATAGGTGTAAAAAAACCCTTTTATAGACTCGGACAAATTAACAGAGTGCACAGCTTGTTCATACAGAATCAGCCAGCATTTATGGCGTAAATCAAAAGTAACGAAATGAATTCACCTCATTTGAATACACTCAAAATTAGCATTCTGGCAGGAAAATGGAAAGGAAGAAAGAAAAGCTAATTATCATAAAATAGCTGGTTAATAAAAATAAATGAGAACTCTACAACCTCAATTCACTATTTTAATTTAGCCATTTTCATTTTTATGCAGCCTTTATATCGAAGTATACATTTGTTTTGGTGCCAATAAACTTAATTCTTTCATTTTTTTACCCGATTACATAACATCACATGCAACAGCTGTAAATATGAAAAATACATGCATATATCCAGCACCATGTTAATTTCTTTTGAATATATGGTGTCTGTCATCTACAAAAGAAAACTGTAAATTCAAAATATAAGATGTGAACATAGGTCTTCTGTTGGATAATATGAGAAAGTCACACTTTCTGGTATTACTATTATTTTTTATTATTTGTAGGACCTAAGGTCCTACAAATAATAAAAATAATAATTAAAAATTAAACACTGTGTAGAGAGTAAAAAGCATAACGCAGAAACTTGGTTGAAAAATTAACATGTATATCACTTTGCCCGAGTGTTATGGTCAGAATCCCATTCTGTATAATAATATATGCATTTGACATTATTAGGTATTGCTAATTAAATTAACATTTAAATACTTCAATGAAATATTAAGAAAATGAGAAAAATTATGAATACTACTTACTATATGATATGAATTTTTTAAAAGTGAGCTAATTAATAAACAAAGAGCAAATATATAGTTCCATATTCCTTACGCTGAAGTCTACTTCATGCTTATTATATCATCATTAGTTATGAGGGCAGAACATTTGTGGTCTTCACCTTGCAAAATCATGAGGAACATTTTAATAATATAGGAAAATTTCATATAATGGCCAGTAGCTGAACTGAATGAAATGAGTATTTTAAATTCACTAGAAATTTAGGGTCGTGTAATGTTTAAATATTTCAAGTTTTGGAAGAAACTATTTAAAATGTCTTCTTTTTTGGGGTGGGTTGCTTTAACTGCTTTTGGGCTACAGATTTCAGCCATATAATCTCATAAATAGGATTTAAAGATTAATTTTTTAACCCAGGCAGATCATATTTCTTCATATGAAATTATTGTTCAAAATTTATTCACTGCCTTACTTATTCATTACACACAATATATTCATATACTAATTAATCATATATTAATACAATATTCAAATACTAATAATTAAATCCTTAAAAAATGTTCCTCTATTAAAAGGAAAAACATTTTAAAATGTCCAATTGAGCAGTATTTATTTTACCTCAAAATATGTCACTATTGTATTATTTTTCAAATTCGTTATTAATACATGAATTAAGTAAACTCAAGTATTATTTAGAATTGAGGATTAGTGATATGGGATGTTTAGAATGTTCAGGGTTTTATGGAAAAGTACTACTGAATGGTAAAAAGGTTTATTAAAATTCAAATACAGTAATTCAATGATGTAATATACACATATAATTAATATGCACAACAAACGATTAGTATGAAATGCATGACAGAGCAAGAATGAAAACATACATGAATTTACAATAACATAAGTTGCAAAATAAACAGAATACAGGAAAACTCGCATAAATTTACAATAATATGAAACAATTAAGTATTATGAGTAATAATATTAGTCAGATTTTTTTTATAGTTAAATCTTCATTTTCATTGCTCTTTTAATATCTTGTGTTGGTGGTTGGCCTGCACGCATTCTTTAAGCGATAATCTCTGTGGCACTTCATCAAACCCTAAATTGTTGAAACAAACACTATCAAATGCTAACTTGTAATGACATTAATACATGCATCATAACAAATACACAATGAATATTAAGAAAATGTTAATGTACCAATATTTATTGTTTCAGTAGTATCAATTATTGAAATATCATAAAAGAGGAATTAGACATTTTTGATTAAACATTCAATTATACATCTATCAATTTCAGTGTTATAGTGTGGCACCAGGGTAACTATGCGAGACACACTAATCCCCTCGAAGATTTCTGATTTACAAAATAATTTTGGCAGTAACTTGTAAAGGCTAAAAAAATATTATCAAAAAGATACAATTCTTAAGTAATTACGTATATTTTGCAGAAATACTTTGGAACTGTTTGAGCTGGTATTCGTGAGAATCCTTGAGTAATTTTTTGAATGCAGAATAGTTTAACTGAGAAACAACAGAATGCAGCCAAATGATATCCCTAAGTATTATTTCATTTCACTTTCTAATGCATGCATAATAGCATTAATTAAGAATTTAATAAAAACATTAAAAATAATTACATGAAGCAAGATCTCTAAAATTTCAAAATTGCATAATAAAATCTAGTTTAATATCTGCAATACATTTTTTAACTCATCATATTTTCATAAATTTAACTTTACAATCTAAGACTAATTACAATAAAGCATACTTTATGACACAAGAATATGAACTTCCAGATAATGTGTGTATCATTTAGTCTGAGATTAAAAACTATGCTAGGAAACATTCTGGAAAACCATATTTAATACGTTTTAAACTATTTTACTTTCCTAGATAATCTCATCAAAATTATTAAATATTCATCAATCTTTTGATCGTCAGTTTCTGTTACCTGCCAGCGAGGTAGAATGTATTCACCAAGACACAAAGAATATGTATTATACATGTAAAATATAGAAAATACAGTGGCTTTGCTCTGCGCGAGCATGCAACCTATAATTAACTTACTGCAGTTTCAGGATCTTATCCTAGACCAGTACTTTCGAGAACATTCTGGCATGTTATATAACCGCTAGTACACATACTGAATACGTGCCATTTTTCGTCAGACTGCTTTCTTCTACCGCTGCTACAAGACCTTGCAGCTGCTCCTCCCATCTTGTTCTTTCCTTTGTTAAAGCAGATATGACGTAAAGTCTAAATTTAATCTTACTTAGTTTAAATCAATATTGAATATATAATTTTGAGAATTTCATCTAAAGGCAAAATGATCTGCTGAGAGAATTGAATAAAGATGTGGGATCTAAAAAGCTAAATCCTTCTTTGTCGTCATTTTGCAACCTTCTATCCAGCCATAACAATGCCTGGCCTATGATGTAGTTATATTGTCAAGCTTTGGTCATTCCTGTGCCTGCCAAAATATTACATATACACGTATGAAAATTATTAATATAAGCTACATAATGTAATATTAATAATTTTCATATGTGTATAATTTTCTAATGATTGTTTTGTCACAGTAATTAGAATAAAAGTCTGAAATATTGCCATGTCTTGCAAAATATCAACTAAATCTGTACACAAGATACAAAATATGAACTAAATCTATACACAAGAATTTTCCATTAAAAATTTCTGTGCAGACCTGATAATCATTATATATACTGCTCTTTGTATAATGTACTGAACTGTAAAGCTCCAGGTATACAAAACATTTCAAGACACTCGATATTTATTCTGTTGCAGAAGCAGACTGTTTATTTTCAATATATATAATAATAAGCAAAGATGATACGTGACAAATCTTTCAGTTCTATAATTTTTATATCTAATATTCAGTGCACTATTATGCTAATAAGCAATCTTTATTCTCAAATCCTTGCATTATATGTTGGTGATTATGGGTGGTCTATTATTCATCTGTTTTCTTATCCGTCATGGCGACTACACTAAGTCTGTTAATCAAAGCTCAAATGTATGCCTGTCTCGTGTAATTTTAAAGAAATATTTGAAGGAAAGATAGGTTAAATTACATAATAATTATACATACTTTGCCTGTGTGTTTACAGTCAGACATAATATTCAACAACTAATATGCTTGAAAATGCCCAAGTGGGATTTGAATGGCTTCAATAACATATACTGGAAAATTAAATAAAAGTATTATATAAAATATTGCGCCCATTTGGATGGCTTAAATAATAGTTGTGTAATAAAAGAACATTTTAGGTTTGATATTAACTAATTAATTTTTTTTTATTTTATCTCTTTGACCTTTAAAATGAAGAGGTAATGTTTCTAGTTGATATTATGTGAAAACCTGAAAAGCAAACAAAAACTACACTAAATCTAAAAATGTTTCCAAAGTTCACACATCTGCAAGAAACTAATAAGGTCAACAATGCCTGATTAACTGAATTTGTTGGCAGATGATGATTCAAATCTGAATATAGAAGACATGTAAACAGTATAAAAGCATATCAAATTTATATCAGTGTACGAGTCATCATATGTGTGAATGAGTGCGTACTATAAATTAAGTACAAGTCTTACTCTGAACTATTTAGTATGCTTATACACTAATTTTTGCATTTTCTTAATTCATATTTTTAATTAGCATTATTACACAAATTAAATAATATCTGTAATAATTGTAACTGAAACAATTGTATTTGAAATTTCACCTCTTTCATAATAACCACAATTGCCTAGTACATATTCATTAGCAAAGCATACAATTAAGTGCTTCACAGTATTATTAACAGTAAGGATGCTATCACACGTCAGTTTGTTTCGGAAGAATAACTGTTTGGCACAATTTTTCTGCTTTGTCACAACAGCCAATTATCATAGATCACTTTGGGGTTAACATGGGAAACTGGTTCCCCATTACAAACAAGCTGATAGCTGATTGATTGAAAACGAACAATTTGCAATTTTTTTAGAAAGGAAGGAAAACGTTGCATGTCTTTCTTTCAATAGTAAACCAGGCAGAAAAATTGTCCGAAACAAGTTGTTCATGTGAAACAAATGCCGTGTGATAAGGGTCTCAGACATCATTACTTACATCTAACATTTCACTTCCAGAAACAAGGGTCAAAATTTTTCAGCTGCCATTCACTGTGCCAATGCCTGAAATTAAAAAAAATCATTTTATAAAAATCTTTAAAAGGATGATTCAAGTATTGAAAAATCTTAGATCATAACTTGGTCATACACACAAAATATATTATTTTTTATACCAATAAAATAATATGTTGTTCAGTGCTGAATGAATTATTTAACAATAGGAGAGGGTCAATGGTTGTGAAATCACATCATAATAATAAGAGAATTTATAAAAAATGAAATAAGGGGTTTTATTTAAATTTTATTATTTAGTTAAGAATAATTATCCTACTAACTTTAATTCATATATTCAACTCTGAAACACACTTTCTACAACTTATCTTTGGCTACTATAGTCTGTGTAGTCAGCTTGACAGATACAGTCAGCAAATGATGATTGGCAGTCATAATTGTTATCTTGTCTTCCTGGTACATGTGCAGTACACATACATGTTTTCCTACAACTTGCATGATTGCATACATACTTTTTCACAGCAGAAATATACAATTTTATGAAGAACTAATTTGCAATAACTGTATATGTGTTAAAATACAATATATCACATATTGCACATATAACATATCAAATTTATATAGCATACATGAAAACAATCCAAGCGTACTTTATATTAAAGTGCAATGTTATGTAATCATTGATGAAAATTACATACATCAAAATATACTTTATTGTTGACTTTACTATTACTTTAGGATTATTAAAAATCATCATCAATTCCTACATGCTGTACAATCATCTGCCTTTTAAAAATAGAACTTGTTACATTTAATATTTCAACAGGTTTTTCTATTCAATAGATATTTGATAATATAAGGAGTTAAGTAAATTTGAGCTAATTATATTTTATTTTTACCAATTCTTTACAGTTATACCACAATTCATTACATTACGAGTTCATTACATTATTTTATATTAACTTCAACCAAAACATTTCAGCACATTTTGAGATAAAAGACTCAAGTACCTTGCATCAGTTTTAGCTGTAATAAAATTACGCTAATAACTTTCTTCTTGAAGTTTCTCGAAAATGATGTTTCTTTTCGAAAAAATTAAAACAGTAAGGAAACAAATTTCTTAAAACATCTTTCTTAATGCTACATTATATAGAAATTTAGGAAATGTTAATGAACTGTATATGTGTTAAAATACAATATATCACATATTGCACATATAACATATCAAATTTACTGAAATGGGAAAATATATACATACCTGAAAGCAATCTGGCAATAGCATTTGGTTTGAAGCTCGCGTTATTCACTGGAGCATCTGCATTTACGCTGACTTCCTTTACCCATTTTGTGCACTCTTCAATTTAAACTTGATTGTATCTTTCAACTTTCCAGTTCTTGGAGCAGTACAGGAAAAAAATCTAATTTTACACAGTAATTACTTTACATTGCACATATACTCTACGAAGACTTAAACGCCGGATTTGTTTACAATCAGATGGCGGTACATCTACCACATACCGTATTTATCCCCTTTTCAAATCGCGCCGACATAATAATTATGCCAAATTTGTTTCTGGGCATGCGCAGTATGCGACATTCGTTTAATACTGTTCAACTCAATGTGCGGTTTGCCATTACGCCTCAAAATGCACGTGCCCCTGTATTCGTACTTAGCAGTGTGTTAGAAGCTCCTCGTTGAACGAGTTATAACCGCGGTAATATTTGTCGTGTGTCTACAAAGTTAGTAACATCGTAAAGGTCTCAACAAGCTACAAATTGTGATGCTTGATTTGTGTTCCTACGTCTTATAATTCCAGAGTTATTGAAATTTTTAAATTCTCATCCATTGTCAACGCATGAGCCTATGTTTTTGAATGAAGAACCGGAAAAAGAAAATGAAGTGCTGCTTTATGCTCCGTCGTTGTTAAGTGATTACTCGCGACCAAATTGCCTTCTGTTCTCAATACAGATATCTGGAGAAAGCTGGCGCATTCCGCTTTCTAACGGTGCAAGAATTGTGTTTGTGGTGTGTGTTTAAGCAGAGTTATAATTATTTTAATTAGAGTCCATAAAGTGTCATTTTTGCGGATTTCGTCTAGGATATCTTGGCTTCTATTTGGAATATCATCATCATTTATCCTCGGCAAAGTAGGTCTTCTTGTACTCTTTATTTCGGTACCCTTGCTTTGAATTTATGTTTATTAGTTCATCTGCTATGCACACTTTTGTGTTATTTTTATAATCCGTAACTCGTGTTCCCCCCTACTAACTTCTTCCAAGTCGAATTTTTCGACGCAGGGGTTGCAAGGTTGTTGTTTTCTCAAGAAGCCCCTCAGGGTTAGCATATTAACAACGACCTTTCCCCTCCACCTACAAAGCGCATGCGCGCTTGGCACAGAACCTGTTGACACCTGTGACCTTAGAACTTTTTACCGCGCGGCTTTGTTTATGTTTCGAACTTTGTCATTTATTCGCCCATTCATGTTTATGTTACAATCTTTTTATACTTTATAGATGTAAATTTATTGATTAATGAAATTTACTGATTGTATTATGTACAAATTACTGACTATTGATATAAATTTAATAATTTTGTGTTTGTACTTTCTAACTTTTTTTTTTTTTTTTTTTCCTCTCTCTCTCTCCTACTAAAATGTCTGTATTTTGTGGGTTAAGTTACAGGTAGTATAAGTTCTCAATCCAACATTAATTTTATTTCCTCTATGACTTTCTAGTTAAGCTGTCTTCAAGCCTTTTCCCCTCTCCTTTCCCCCTTTAACTGACTTCCCCTTCTTTTTATTTCTCTGATAACTTCGCTTCTATGTAACTTAGCGGCCTCAAACTCTTCTTTTCATCCCCTTGTTATCCTGTTATTCCCTTTTAATTTCTAAGTTTTCTCCTTAACTACATTAGATAGCGCCCTCTTTTCATTTTCCCCTCTTGACACTTTACCTTCTTTTTTTTTTTTTTTTTTTTTGCTGACCCCCTCTTTCTTTCCACTCCACCCCCTCCTCACATTTTTTTTTTATATTTTAATTAATCCTTTTTTTTTCGAGCAATTTTTGCAACTATACACTTGTTGTATTTTTAGAATTTTTTTTTTTTAACAGTTTCCTCTAGTGGAAACACCTCCACATTCTTCCTGTTGTAAACCCGCAACCTCTTTAAGGTCCAGGCTCTCCTATTACTACTCTTTCTGCACTTGCAATTCTCCTTCTGTTCACGTTTCAGCTATTCCTTACATTCTCCCCCATTTTTCATCACTCATCTCTTCTCTTTGCTATCTTTGACTTATTAACATTCTTCGGGCCTCTGGCATACCACTACAACCTCTCGGTTTACGTGTTTATCACTTAAATATATGTGTATACTTACAAAATATCATGTGTACTGCTATTTATTGTGCTTACTGAAACTTTTGTGCATTAATAATTAATTATTTCCATCACACATTTGCTGTGTTGTGTACTGTAACTCTCACTACGTGCTCAGTTTCAAGTTCTGCGCAAGTGATAATTTGTGTGCACTTTACATTGTAATTCTTCCTGCGGGCTCAATTTTAAGCACTGCTCAAGTGAACTACAGTTACGCAGTGGCTTTGTGATTTAGTGTATTCAGTGAATTAGAGACTCAGTGCCTTAATATAGAGATCTCAACAGCTTCCTAATATAAGACTTCAACAGCAGTGCTTTAATATAGAGATTACAGTGCCTTAAGATAGTTCCTTGTTATAGTGCCACAATTTAGTGCTCAGTATAGTGCCTCTAATTGCCATAATATAGAGATTTCTACAGCATTCAGTGAGATAGTCTACACAGTGAAATTAGAGACTTAGTGCATAATTTTAAAGATTCCAATAGCAATTAGTGAATCTGCGGAATAGCAGAATATTTTTTTTTATCATTAGTGATTTCATACAATAGACTCAATGCAGTATGTCTGAAATGCGTACCTCCACACACTGCAGTGATCTAGATTTGCCAAATCACTTAGTTTCAACTGACTTCTCATATAGAGAAAAAATAAAAGCGGTCTTCGACGAGAGCGTACAAATAGCCAATACAGTTCGAGGTAATAAAAATATATTACCACGCCTCATAGCCACTCTAGAGATCTTTCGGGACATCGCATTACGTGGAACAGAGGTAGTCAACAAAGACGTGAACACTTCTGTAATCTCGCGCTGTACCACTAGCACTAACACCCCTTACCCTGAGGTGGTTACTTCAAGTACAAACACGGACTCCCTGCCAGTAACAGCAACTACGCAGGCTCCCAGGAACACCGGGGAAAGGCATAGCCACTTGAAGTCAGCGACAACACCATCAGCGATTGTGCCCCAGAAACCAACCTTTGCGGCAGTGCTTAAACAGTTCAGTAAACCCAGTCTGATCATCAACCCTTTAGGGAGTATCCATCCACGTGATCTAAGAACACAGTTACAGGAAAAGGTTCCACTTAGTGAGATCCCAGTTGTCGTCAACGCTATCAAACCGGCTCCAAAAGGCGGACTAGAAGTTTTTTGTAATACAAACGAGGAGGTACTCAAGTTACAGGAGCACATCAAAAAAGCTGAGGTCCAGGCAGAGGTTCGTCTCAGGCAAAAGAGGCAGCCGAGAATAGCCATCCATAATGTTCCAGAACATGTTAAACCAGAACAGCTCATCGCAGAGCTCAGCGCAACAGCAGGTCTATCAGCAAGAGTATACAAACCCCTGTTCCGACTTAAAGAGCGCCGAGCAAACAGAGTCAAATGGGTTCTCGAGTGTACCACGGAGAGCTTTGGAATCGCCATCAACATCAGACGTCTGTTCACAGCATGGCAGGCTCATACTATCACGGAGTTCTTGGGAATCCGTAGATGTTATAGATGCCAGCAATTCGGGCACTCCCAGGATCTCTGCCGCAGCAAGAAACAGTTCTGTGCCTTCTGCGCTGGGTCGCACAACACCAAAGTCTGTCAAGCAGAGTCACCAGCCTGTATCAATTGCGGGGACTGTAACTACCGCAACGGCACCTCCTACTACTTTGAACATCCGGCATACCACCCGGAATGCCCGATGTACCAGAGAGCCGTCTACAACACACGCTGCAACACACAATACTGAAGCTATAACATCTCAGCAGCCTACCAATGCTATGTTACTACCTAATGCGCGTCTGAAGATAGCAACACTATCTCACAAGAGATCCTACCGACAAATATCGACAACCCAGCCAACCTGATTCTAACTCATTCCTCAGCAGGCTCCATAAAATGCACGCAAATTAACCTCCAACGGGCAGAAGCAGCTAATACGCAACTAGTGCAGCATGTCCTCGATCATGAGATAGATATCATCCTTCTCCAAGAGCCTTACTGCAGAAACGGCGCAATAGCCTGCCTACCACTCTCATGGAAGATCTTCCAGCGGAAAGCGCAACTTAACGAACTACCCCCGAGAGCGGCGATCATTTGTTGTAATCCACAATGGTCCCCACTCATTATCAAGCAGGCACGAGATCATGTTGCAATTCTTCTGAATTATAATAACTCCCAGATTATCCTATCATCCGTCTACAGCTCTCCACCAGAAGACATCAGCAATGCAGTAGATAGTATAGCAGAAATACACAGAAAACATACTACCATTCCTCACGTAATAAGTGGAGACCTAAATGCGCACAACGTCATTTGGGGATACCCAAATACCTCACCGAAAGGAACAGCGTTAGAAGAATTTATAATGACAGCCAATCTACAGTTAATAAATACTCAGAATGCCCCACCGACGTTCGACAACTCATACAACAAAGGATGGCCTGATTTAACAATAGCTACAAGTAACATAGCCAACAATATAACAGATTGGAGGGTCATAGACGACGAGAGTTGCTCTGATCATAAATATATCCACTTTGCAATTAATACCGACACAAGCATCACTATCCTTAAGCGCTACAAGATCCCAGGCAATAAACTGCGTGCATTAACAAAGGCTTTCTCGGATACCCTACAGAGTGAAGAAGAAGTAATAGACCAAATAAATAGCCCAGAGGGATTAGACACTTATACAGATCATCTCCTCAATACATTGCGATGTATTTGCGACAAGCTCCTGAAGACTCGCACTGCTAAACGCATACAAGGCATATGCTGGTGGACTAAAGAACTACGCCAATTACGGCA